TTCGACTTCTTTCGCTCTCCATTTCTAGTTATTACTCCAAGTTCTTCTTCTCGATTGTATTGTAATATTAATAATGGCTGATCCAACTAGGCCTACCAGCGCAGTGAAGAGCGCAGGGAAGAAACAAGCCGCTGTTTCGAGCAAGAAGGCCCCAGCAAAAAAGCGCCGAAACTGGTCGCACGATGAGACGCATGCGCTGATCGCAATTTGGGGGAGCGAGGAGCACCAGGCCGGTTTTGAAGGCATGAAGTATAATTCGAGGGTGTGGGCGGCAATATTCGACGAGTTTCGGGCCAGATTTCCCGCAAGCCCATACACTAGATGGGAAGCAATAAAAGATAGGATAGAGTATCTCAGAAAAAAGTACATGGTGGCGAAAAAGGAAAACAACACGTCTGGAAGGGGAAGAGTCACATCCCCATTCTACAGTGACATGGATGAAATCCTCGGTAAGAATTTTAGTTGTTTTTTTTTATTTTTGTTTCTTTCGATGATCAGTTGATTGTTACAAACATGTTAAATAAGATTGATATTTTTCACTTTCAAAAACATTTTGAAAAGATGCTTTGCTGGCGGCCATTTTCTCCTAATGGAATCCGGGAGGGGGCCTATAAACAGTTCATCATTTTTCTTTGCAGTTTCTTGACTATTCCAATTGCAATTGATTTTCAATAATTTTCATGGGAAAAAAAAGTGCCTCCTCATATTTAAGCCTGTTTTATACTTAAAGCAAAAGCAAGTGCGAAGCGAAATTTGTATTGTCCACAATGACAATAGTAGACATGCTTTGAATGTATTGTTGACATCACTAATTTTGCTTTCGGGTGAAGTATGAAATGGACTTAATCGTTTCAACTAATTTTAGCCGGCGCATCCGTCGTCGTGCTTTCTTTCGTCGTAAGACACGACGTTGACATCCTTCCTTATCATCTGGGAATGATGCACTGGTTGCACCAATCAAACTTCCGACTGTATCTATAATAATATCTGCCATGATTGCGACCAAAACTTCCAAATTTGGCCAAAAGAGAAACAGCTTGCAGCTAGCTCATGTAGCTAGCATCGTGCGTGCGGGGAAAACAATGCAAAGCGCATGCGTAGTGTCCCGCGTAGCATGACCTACATGTATGTCATGCGTGGTCTGCTTCGCGCGCTTGGACCGGATGTACGCTTTCCTGAGCCGCTTTTACCGACTCGCACTGTCCGCACTGGACTTATCGTCTCGGGAAAAGCGACCTGGTCAGTTTTCCTGGGCGCGTGGGAAGTTTTCCTGGGCAGCAGTTGGCCAGTAAAAGTAACCGCTGGACTCAGGAAAAGTAACTGAGAGGAAAACGTCCTAGGCTGTCCGCACTGGACTTAAAATGGGAAAAGTACCCATAGTCTCGGTAAGTTTGACCAAAAAAAGTCCAGTGCGGACAGGGCTTAAGTGCAGAGAATGCCAAGCACAGTTCCAGCAAGGACAAAACCTGTTGCAGGAATCAAGGTTTCATGGAACCTCAAGATGGCTGCAGTGGATTTGTGGATGCTTTCTCAAAGGAACCACCAGGAGGTCTTTCTTCTTAAGAACGAGATGAAGAACTACAAACTGTACTTCCAAGGAGTCATTTCGGAAATGGAGCAGAATACTGCAGAATCAGGAGCGGAGGATGTGGCTGTGATGCAGCCACATGGAAGATGACCAGGTATGAATTAATATTGTGTATCTGTTGAGATTGAGGTTTTCAGTCAATGCAAAGTTAAAGGGAATATACATCATTTGCTTTTGCTGTAATTTTCAGAAATGGATGGAATTGGGGGGTTGGAAATATATAGCAAATATAGTTACACTGACTTGTTTGAGGTTTTGGGTTCGAAAATGCTATAAAAACCAAGAAAACAATCATATTCCTGTAGTCTGGTTCCCTGACTCCATATAAGAAGAAACAGAGCAGTTTACATACATTGGGGAATTGTGAGGTCAGCGAACCAGTCTAGCTGGCTTGTACCCGTTCATACATGTAGGTGTGTAATCGATTGCAAACAAGTGCGATGGTCAATTGGGGCCAGTATTTGAAAAAAAGCCAGTTTTTTTCAACGCTGATCGGCCGATCAGCGTTGGAAATTGATACAAAAATAGCACTTTTCTTGAAAATGACAGTATACCAGGTGCCATGAATTTACAGGATGCTTTACACTGTCATTCACTAACAGTCCAGCAAGGTATTTCAAAATGATTTGGTAGTTTTATTTTTTGATGTTTGCAAATGTTGTATTTTCCCTTTAAAGGAATGATGAAACTTTGAATGAAAACGTGAGATTTGAAATGATATTGAATAAATCTGCAAGTGGTAGAATACCATGGTGATGAATCATACATGTATGAACAATGTGGACCTCTTTGGAAGTGAGTCTTTTCAAAAGCTTTCACGAGCTATATTTGTCTTTACCCTTTTGAAGCAAGGGTCCTTGGATATGCAACCGAACCGCCCATTGGTCATGGGATACCAAATTCTTTATGACCGACTATGATGAGAGGGAGATACATGTATCTTAATGTGTTTTCTTTCTACAGATACATGGCAACGATATTTGCATGCTAGATGCAACTTACATGTACAAGACAACCAGATATGCCCTGCCCCTTTTCTTCCTGGCAGTGAAGACAAATGGGGGTTCAGTGTTGTAAGTGAGTTTACAGTGCAGCGGAAGACAAGAAACCAAACAAGTCATGCCATCCAATCAATTAAATCATGGATGGACATGAAAGAGAAGTCAGGGATCCTCAACTCTCCATGAAAGACCAGGATACAGATCAGTTCATGAGCTGAGTTGTTCCTTTCTCCATATCATGTCTCTCCAAGAGACTGCTCAGCGGCGCAGAGCACTTCCCTCCCCACTGTGTTACCCATGAACAGAAAACTGGACTTCTCAATCCGCATGCCAGTCACATGTGGTGAAAGGCAAATAAAATCAATCAATCAATATATCCTATGCATGAACCAGTTTGTCTCTTGTAATTTCAACTTGACGTTGTCTGCAAACTCCATCCATACCGGAAACCGATTGGAAATACAAGGCCCAGACCAGATCAGTGTGTGTGGAGCATGGTTTGATGGCTTTGCGAAGAAGAGGTGCAGCACACGCAAGACGTCTTTCACAGAGGGGATCAATACTCTTCCAAAAAGTCCTTGTAGGAGATGAAATAGCACCAATTGAAGAAGACTGGTTGGGTGCCATGATGTTAGACAACAAGGAGTTATCAGACACGGATTCAGATTTAGAGTAAAGTATGCGTTTGTATACTTTTTCTTCTCAGTTTTGGTAACACTTAGAGATGTTCTGAGAAAAAAATAGCGAAGTGGTTGAAGCAAAGTTGTGGCAAAACGCAACATTTTGAAAATGGAATGCTCTAGTCTTTTCCTGGCAACTACACATACATGTACCAGTACATGTACCCTGGGTACCAGAAGGAAAAGGGAGAATAACAGCAGGCAAAATAAACTTTTAACGAGGTATGATGTTCAGAACAAGAAGCATCTGTGTAATGTTTTAAATGAACGGCACAGAGTCTTGACCGCTAGAATGGTGATTTTAGTAGCATCTTAGATTCACTAGCTTGCAATCTGCTGGCAAATATGCCATGAGCCACTCTTCCAATATTTTCAAGAGCACAACTACGAAGAATGCAACAAAAAATATGGAAACATGTGTCACATTCACTGTGCCTCTTTCGATGGAACCGTGGACCTAATACTGCAAGATGAGAGCTTTTTCATCAGAAATATTAAAAGGGCATTCACAATTTTTATACATTTGGGTCGTTGTGACTCTTCCTATTTTGACGCAAGGCTCAGCAGAAGAATTGTTGAACTGGGCAACAGCCGGGCCATTCTGTTCTCAACTCAGATCAACAAAATCCAACATCAAAGTTGCTGCCTACTGTGGATATACATGTAGCTGGATTCAGGAAGGTTCGGGGAAATGTCAAGAACGTCTCTTTGGAGAAATTTTACTGCACAAAAGGAGTGCATCCTTTGAGTGCTAAATGTGCAGTTGATGTGCAAGCACATTTAAGGACAATAAGTAGTAAAGGCAACAAAAGAACCTTCTCTGAGATAACATGGCCTAAACATGAATCTGTGTTACTGTAAATCAATGCCAATTGGCACAGACATGAACGCTGAACATAAACAAGGTAAACAAAACTTAGTCGTTATTACTGCCGTCGTTGTGGGGGTAAATACAAGGCAAAGGACAAGGACTGGCAGTGGGTAGGGTGTGAGGAAGCAGAAAAATGTAAATCGTGGGTACACACAAAGTGTCTCAAGTCGAAAGAGGACACTGAATTTAAGACACGGTGGTGCGAGCAGTGTGGATCAATGTAAATTGGCAATGACATGAACACTGAATGGGCCCAATGACTTCAAAATTACATGTGTGTCCTACATAACTTAATTTCAATTGCTGTAAAATGGCTGTTTGAGGTCCTTCTAAAATTTTTTTCAAAACTAATAGAAATTTTCGCGAACAAAACGGTAATGTCATCTTAGGCAGAAGCCAAAGTATCAAAGTTCTTTTCAGAGCAAATCTTGACATTTATTATTTTTTGGAGGGGTCCAAGTCCTTTCTGTGTGTTTTTTCCTTCTTTGTTCAAACAACAAAGTATGATGTAACAACTGCCACGATAAGCTGCTCTTTAATTTGATGAATTGCACAGACAAAGGTGACTGCAGAAAATGACATCACAGCAAAAGCACCCTTCTGTGTCATTTACTAGAAATTTAAAGTGGGCAATTCCATAAATTCCGACCTATTTAACTATTAAAGGTACCAACACCACTTTAACGACCCTGTACCAGTATATCATGTGGCTGGACATACCAAAGAATTGGATTTTACGGAATTGCCCTAATGTAAAAGCTGAAAAAGATTTTGAAGGATGTATTTTTGTTGGTTTTCATACATCTCAGAAGAATGAATATTTGCACAATTCTGTTTTGACCTCTGTAAACTGAGGTACCTCACCACTTCTGGAACACAGATCTCACACTGTCTTTTAATGCTTCAAACTCCTCTGACGACAGTGAAACTTCCCGGGTACGTTCAATGGCTTTTTCTTCTGTCAGCTCGTCAAAAGACTCTTTACCTGAAGGGATAACAAAGAATGCATTTTAATGCCAGAGTCCATCATTTGCAGCTATCCAAAAAGTAACTATTGTTGAAAAACATACTTGGTTGAAAGATTGTTAAGGGGACTTAACTCCCTGTGAATTATTCTTTCTGGCAAGCTGTCATTTTGAAGAAATCAACGGAAGAAGGCCTTTCCAACGGTGCTTCTTAAGACGCACTGTAGGAAATTTAAATAAGTAGTTCGTTTTGTTATTCGGCGAAGCGCGCGCAAGCATTGATGTTGCAGTCTGTGGCTGATTTCAAAATCTTAACATACCATATTACAGGTCACTGGTTACCAGCCCAGAAGTAAAGTGCATTGCATGCATGAGGCACATGGCCGATTTATGCTTGCTTTCAAACCTCTCTGCTTAGCAGCGTAATGACATTGAGCCACAGTCTTACTTACTGTAGATAGGTAGATGGCCTGCCAGCTCACACAATGCGACATTGAATGCAACTTCAGGAAATGTCTTGTCGTTCTTAGCACCTAATAGTGTGAAAAATCAGAATTACATTGAAAGTGGTGGGCTTTGCATGATTAAGTTCAGAATTGAAGGAGCCTTGCTGGCTAATCAGCCTTATTTCTTAATAGGGATACTAAGGACACAACGTAAATAGTGACATCACAAAAATCTCTTTGACCTTCGTTCCACAACTATTGTTAGCCCTGACCTTCCCAAATCTTCCAAAATCCTCTTTGCATAAGTGGAGGGTTTCGAAGGATTGAGGCTGTATGGCAAAAATGCGTCAGTTGATATTGGAGGATGCATTGTGTCAAGGTCTAGGCTGTACCTCGTGTTGTTTATGGTTAGCCATGCATAAATTCATCCGGACTGCTTCTAAAAATCATCTGCACTGCCTCAATGTATTAACAGGAGGAGTTGGAGGATTTTGCAGGATTGAGGCAGTGAGCACATTTTTAAAAATAACGGATGTTTTGGTGGATTGAGGCTCTACCAAATTTTTACATGGAGGCAGTTGGAGGATTGTGCGGGATTGGGGTTGCATCCCATCAAATATGCCTAGGGGGTTAGGGTTAATCCTCCAATCTTATGTGTTATTGCAAATGTGCAGTACTAATCAAACACCAATGCATTTTGAATTCTCTTTACCAAAAGATATCTTTAATTCATAGAAAATGCTTTCATGTTTGCACATCAGAAAGCATGCGAAAACTGCCGCAAGCTTTACACCCGAAGCAAAAGGAATATGCTGGCATACATCCAGAAATGGATGACGAGGAATTCTCACAATCTGACTACAAGTACTGCAGGATTTGTGCCTTCAGCAGAAGCTTTTCAGTGTTATGAATAACTGATTCTCCACCTTTGACAATATTTTCATGACATAAAAAAGTTTCATCATTTATTTGATGTCATATCATAGTCATTAAAAAATATATGCCTCTTGCTCTTACCAAAAAAGGATTTTCTCGGCCATAAGACAAGTCGGACGGTCTGCTCTTGGATCTGACTGTCATCATCTAATGCACATCCCCGAGTGATAAACAGATTATGAGCTATCTCCTTTTGTTGTAGTACAGATGCCACTTTGTAGACGGACCTGAAAAACAACACAGGGTTTATGAAGGTTGCTCTTTCAAGTATTTATGCCAAAATTCTTAATTTTTTTCTGGATTTTGAGATTCAGAGCCCCCTTTGTGGCGAATCACTCACAAAAACAAATCCATAATTTGACATAGTGACGAATACGGAATTTCACTGGTAACCAGCTTATGTAAGGTGTGCGTTCAAAGTACCAACAAAGGTTATTTGTCAGTTTGTCGGATTGCGCGCGCGTCCATGCGCGATCTGACAAACTGACGAATAGCATACAAACAGTGTGAAGAACAACCGGCTATTGGAGATTAATGTAATTTGACAAACTGACGAATACGTTTACGATCAAATAAAATCATATAGCACAACTTCTCTGATTAAATAAAACTTAGTTTCCTATTTTATTCCGAATATATACTAAAAGGGTTATTATCGAAACATTAAGGGTAAAATACGACGCCCAGAAAAATGTCCAACTTCAAACGCGAATTACTCGAAGCAAGGTTTTCACTTATTCGTCGGTATGTCAGCTCTGCGACGAATTGGTCCTGGATAATCTCCAGGAATTCACAACTGAATACTATCCATCAAGGACTCTTGGCTCCAGTTCCAAACATTTAACTCCATGCAAAGTTCTTACCAAATCTTATGGTCAATGGATATTTCAATTTTCAGCTCCGGAAGAATGGAACAAGAAGCCTTATCTAATAAACATCAGCCCATCAATGGAGCATTTCACATTGTTACCAGAAGCGGGAAGAGACTGTTTTTTTTATAATGCGCTATATAAGCAATGTGTATTATTACAAACGAGGGGCAATGAAACATATTTTTCCATTTAATAATTTCTCCTATTTACAACTCAAGAGTTGTCATAAAAACAGTCATCCACCCTCAATTCAGTAGCTATTCAAATGACCTGTGACAAAGCCATTGCTCATCCTGTTACTTGCGCAATACTGTTATACTCTAATGTTTGAGGCATTTTGTCTCAAGTTCTATGACGGTGGTCTAATATCTGTACCTTGCCGTTTCTTGCACTGTTTGACCTTTGACCTGGAAGACAAAACCTCTGACTGGCCAGTCAGTGAGCTCATGGCATGGACCAATCACTGGCCTAGTTGCCTGAAATAAAGAAAAAAAAACCAGAACGAAGACTGTTACTCAGTTTGTAAAATCTTTTGACTCATAACACATTTTACAACAGCCAAACATTTTTAAGCTTTTTAAATCTGCTTTTCAAAGGCAATCTAACAGATGTTGAGAATTCTTAGGGAATTTTCTGCTAATTAACTCACCATTCTGCACTTACAGATTCTGCAAGCACAGAAATCCTGTGCCAACTATATAGGCAAAGAATCCTCATACAGGGCATTCATGTGAAAAAGCCCAAATTTCTTGTTAATCTTTCAAATGTGCTAATTAGCAATTCTGTTGTAGTTAGCTACAATGTTCTCTTATGTAAAGCAGAGCCTTGAAATTTGGCCCTCTCCACAAAATACAAAGTTAAGCCACTGAGTTAGCAGCTGTACATGCTGGCTTTTCCCCCCAAGAAAAGCAAGATGACTTAAAAACAAACCACTGAGACACTTGCCACCATGAGGGGGCACAAATGGTCCACAATTCAGCAAACTTACCGTCCTCCTAATGAGGAGTTCATGTTCCAAATAGTAACCATGGAAGTGTTGGTGATTCACTGATGCCATTGCACACAAACTGTTGAACCCTAGTATAAAACCTCTGTGAAAGGAAGACAAGTATTTGTAATATGCCAGTTAAGTGTGAACAAGCGTGAACTAGAACATCCAGGCACATGGGAAGAATGGACGTCTGTATTGATTGGCCAACTTATATTTAGAAATAGTACGATTCAGCAATTAACCCTCCTACTGATAGAACTGTCACCAACAGTGAACCTTTGGTGCCTTCACTGTTAATGAATGAAATCAATCATTGCCAGGCACTCAGCAGTACTTAAACCCACCATATCAGTCAAGGCATAGTGCCTTCAGTTGACAAACGTGCCACAGCCTGTCAATTGTACGAATCAGTATGAGCCCAATTTAATACAAAACTGTTAAAACTGTCACCTGCAAGATTTTGACAGATAGGTTATCTCGCTCCATTTGGTCAAAGAGAGAAAGGGTTAATGCAAATGACTCCATGCATATCTACACCCAAAACGGTGACAAAGAGAAAGATACGACAGACACTTGAAAGATAAGAGAAGAGTAAATTTGCGGTTACACAATGAGCCAAGAAATCCCGAACCTGGCAGAAACTTCCGATGACGGGCAGAGCAAATAATAACTTGTCACATTGAGTTTCTGGTTCCTTTCAGAAAACTCACAAATTCACAAAAGAGATTTGTCACATGATGCAAACTGCAAACTCCTCTTACATACTTGAGATACATTAGATACTTGAAAGCCATTGCTGCTACAAACCTGGCACAAACACAAAGACACTATGGGATTGTAAACATTCAGTTGAAACTTGGTTATGTGTAGAATGTGGAATTTGCGAGAATGTGCGAGAACCTGTGCTCACATACGGTTGTTTCACACACCCGAGGGATCTCGACAAAACCACACAGCCCCTACCAATTTTTTTTGAGAGATCAGTTCTAAACTGATGTCATATCAGGATTTGGGAGAATTCTTGCTAATTCTCACAAGTCTGTTCCGCAATTTCCATAACATGTCCACTAAATATTCCAACACACATCCAAGTTATAACTCACCTGTGAGCACTCAACAAGACGGCCTCCAGAGCTAGGAGAATTGCATCTTCAGTTAGAACCTAATAAATAAATAAAGAAGTCATTTTAGCTGAGGTTATTTACCTTCCCTACCTGCATTTTGTTTAGACCGGACTGGTGCCTACATTGTGTGAAATAAACTAAGCCTAACTCTCTTTGATCCCCCAAAATCAACCAGGCCCTTTCGGAGGATGAGTTTGGGGGTTGAGGCAGTACGCCTTTGAAGTGCTGGTTGCTTATGGAGGAACTAATGGTCTTAAGCTGTACCTTGCATTGTTCATGCTCATTGTTTATGTTCATAAATGAAGGCCTACAATATACTGGCTATCATCCTCACTGCTTCTAGGTCATGAAAGTGAGTTGGTTAGATCTTCAAGGATTGAGGCAGTGGTCATCCATCCACTGAACCAAATCAGTGCCCTACGCTAGCTTATTTTGCCCCCACCTTGCTCCGTATCCTTAAACAGAGACCAAACCACAGTTTAAAGCATTTTACAATGAAAGACATATTCAAACATTCTTATTTACTGTTTTCCCACAACCATAACTGAAGTTACTGTGCCCACTATTACAAGCAATCACTGCTGATAATTTGTGTTGAAAACACAACGGCTACCTTATCCAAAAAAAGTTTTACGATATTTTTTAAGCAAACGAAAATTTGCAACAAACCTGTGGAATACATTGGTAGCGTTTTGGCACGAGGAGTATATTACAATACTCTAAGGGGCTGACGTTGATTAGCACGCTGTGATGTTGGCTCTCTGTTACACCATTGCACAATGGAGTCTCGTCTGTTACACTGTCTGAAGTATCCCTCTCTGGACATAGTTCAAATAAAACCTGTAGTGTAGAAACAACACATACAGTGTAAATATAACACTTGCAGTGTAAAGAAAACACCTGTTCGGTGAAAAAAACACCTGCTGTGTAAAGAAAACACCTGCAACACAAAGATAAAACTTGCAGTGCAGATTAAGAAAAAATTTGCAGTGTCAATGTCACATCTATCTGTGTAAAACACTAATCCATAAATACAACACCAGCAATGTAAATTAAGCCTCTGCAGTGTACATCAAAGTGGACAACACCTGCAGCGTATAGAAAACACCTGCAGCACAATGAAAACACCTGCAGTGTAAAGACCACACCCATAGTGTAAAGACAACACCTACAATGTATTAGTGTAAAGAATACACAGGCCTGCAGTCTAAAACATCTACAGTGTAAAGAAAACACCAAGATACATTTCTATATCTGTTTGTTGATAGTTCCCTCAAATGCTCCTTCAAGACTAATATTTACAAACACTGTAATTCGTCTGTAAGAAGGGATTGTTTTCTAGAATTGGTTTTTCAATACTAGACTAATATACACATTCGGTATAGAACAAGTGCTTGAATTATGCCTGTAGAAACCAGAAAGTGTACAAATAATGACTTTAAAAGGATATTGTTATTATTACCATTTTGCACACCCCTTTTTTACAAATGGAAGAGGCATACAAGACCATCGTTCGCGTACTTCTCAGGCCCCCCCTCTGTCCTCCCCCCCCCCCCCCGACATAAAACATTGATTTAACCGTTTTCCCTTGACCTCAGAACTTGACAAAAAAATTGTGCATGGTGCTACCACAAATCTTTACTCATTCAGCCTACAACATGGAAACCTTTGACTCTCATTACTGACCTCTTTAGGATTGACCTTAGTAAAGTTAAAGATGTCAGGGTTGAATGGCTGGGAGATGTGGGTCATCTTCTGTGGCTTCCTTCTCTCTATAGCTCTCTTGATGTTTAGCTGTATGAAAATAACATACATGTTACTATCATGACTCTGACAAGCAAAGAATATCTGCTTAGCGAATGCACTCCACGCTAATGAAGTCCTGTAATTGGCGGTTTTTTCTGCTGTTGGATGTAGATAATAAATAAATAAATAAATAAATAAATAAATAAATAAATAATTTTTGCTCCGTGCTGTACATGCGCATACCTCGGATGTCAGAAAAACTTTCAAATGATCACGCGCGCGCATGCATGCGCGCCTTGCCGCACACATTTGCATAGAAACGGTGCTGCATATTGGGTAATCGTCACACGAGACGTTCGTACAGCATGCTTGTCTGAGATCCGGGTACTTCCTTCTATTTTTAACATTAGTGCAGAGTGCTATTAATTAGCTAAATGTCATGCAATGTTCTTGTGGCTGTTCCTCAACTTATTTTGCTCAGCACATATATCTGACAAGCAATATTTGAAAATTTGTGATTAATACCGTTTTGTTAATTTGAAAATGTCGCTCGTTCCTGGTTTTCTAAAATCACTTTCGACAGGAATTTAAGAATACAGTAAAGTGAAATACGTCGCTTTGAAACAGCTGTTATGCCGTGTATGTTCTATGATTTTCATAACCTCGCTTTTTATTCAAATGGATATACATGTATCATGTTTTGGAAAAAACTCTTAATTTTCTGCGTAGCGGCTCTATGATAAACTGGGCCATGGCCTTCAAGTGTTTAAGTCCCAGTTTCTCATGCTTCAGTTTTATAAATGTGATGCGATCAAGCTACATGAGTCGTTTGTCAACCCTGGTCAAAAAATGTTTTAGTGCAGATTTGAAAAGAGCACAATCTCAGCATCACTGCTATGGAAACCGCATGCTGATTTCATATTCAGTTTAAAAATTATGGAAGTTGGAACACCAAGAGATGTAATGAAGTGACATGATGATTGATGAAGTGGCCCTATATTGGCCTTTACCTCCAAATAAAAATTCCCGACAAACGACTCATTTAGCTTGATCGCATCACAATGTGCAACCAATAACCACCAAATTCCTGAATCTAAAACCCTCTTAACCCAAAAAACCACCGCTCCCTCCACAGACAACTTTAACATGTTGTTTGCAACCCTAAAAATTTTACCCAGTCTAGGTCCTTCAAAGCTTATTCTTGTGTCTTATTTGTTGCTGTCCAGTTTGTTTCAGTAAAATGTACAAAGATTGTGCCATTGGGCTACTGCACAGTGTTGTATAACTTTGTTAACGACTGCTTAATCACACAAGCTCTCAGAGGAAACTGGGCATAATATTTCGGGGGAGGGGCCAAAGTTATAAAAACTTAAACAATTTTAACACAACATGGAGCAATTTAAGGTGCCTTGGGACATTGCAATTAATTACCTGTGCAACTATCTTTCTCGGACCTGGAAGTATCTTTGTTTGGAGCTCATCGATGCGATAGCGGAAACATCCCAATTCAACTGCAGCGTCCCATTTTGAGCGCAGCAACCTGTCAAACTGGGGAGAAAAATTCACCTCACTTTATAAACTGTTGAAAAAAAATTGATTCAATATGGCACCACATTTAGTTTGATATCTGTTGCTACATGTATTTTGCACTGGTCATGTTGATACAAATTGTCATCCTTCTATTAAACAGAAGTTTGTTACAAGTTTCTGTCAGTTGAAATCACAGAGATACAGGTCCAGATATGGAAATTTCACAATCTCTTACAAACAAGGCACCGATAATTCTTACTGAAAGAGACAGTAATCTTTTTCCTAAAATGAGTAGGGAAACTTGAAACTTAAAAAAAGTCACTCTTTGCAGTCTTCAATCCTTGCATACTGCAAGTTGAATTTTGGTGCGTTTTTTATTAAAAAGAATGTTGCAACCTGACCCTACTTTTTTCTTTATATATCATCTCAATGAGCGTCAGTCATTACAAAAATGATAAGACATGAATGACATTCACATGTGCTTTCTGAAAAGAAGCCTTTTTGGTGAAGCCTTGTATCCTTTGGCAATTTGGTGCTCTATAAATCCAGTTATTATTATGAAGCAAACTGGTGAAAAAGGTAACTGAATGACACAAGCATCCTATTTGTTGGTCGAAATGTACTATCATGTGTATGGTACAGACACGTGCCATAGGTGTACATATCGTCGGAGTTTTCACAAAGACAATTTTGGCAAAAATCAATATATTTTCGAAAATGTTTTTTTGGGCCGAAATCGATTAAGTGTATTGCAACGGACATCTTGGCGAATTTATTTTGTCAAAATCAGATGAAATCATTGAGATCATGAGAATCAATAAAGGGAAAATTTCACCCAAGTCGTATTTTCAGTTTTCACGAAGAGACAATTGTAGCAAAAATGCACGTTGTTCTATGTGGACAAAATAACGCGCGTGTGCGATTTTGAGTTTTCACGAAGAGACAATTTTCGAGCGCGCGCAAGCAAAACGACGCGTGCGGGCAAAACGAAGCGCGTGTGGGATTTTGAGTTTTCACGAAAAGACAATTTGTGCGTGTTTGGATAGCGGAGAGTTTGAGTTTTCACGAAGAGACAATTGGATCACTGCCAATTTTCCCGGCAAAACCAATCGCCTGTGGAATTTTGAGTGAGACAAATGACTATGAACGTTAATTGCTCTGTAATTAATTGGTCTATTGACTCGCAATTGGTACAATGTGTAAGAGTGAGATTTCAGCTTACTATCGGTATAAAAAAATAATCAACATGTCCTCTAAAGGTAGGCGAAATCTTCAGTTTAAAAGGAGTTCAACTTTAAAGTCGATTTTCTCAAAACTATGTTTCAACGCCCTGTGGCCACAATTCTCTCTTCGTGAAAACTGCAACGATATGTACAGTACTTACAGTACTCAGCTCTGTGTTCTTGAAGTCATCAGGCTGTGGAGTCTGCAGCAACAATTGCTGACTCGAATACTGAAATTGCTCCATGATCACAGCGCCATTCATTTGTCCGTCATTGCCTGAACTAATTTCTGAAGAGTAAACATTATGAAAATAATGGTGGGTAGGATATGTATTCATTTTAACTGCTTTCAAGAATGATTGAGACAAATCAACTTGCATATTTTTTTTTTGGGGGGGGTGAGACATTGGGGGGATAGTAGCCTACATTGTGCGGGCGTGGTGGTTTGGTAGTGCTCGGTCAAAGTTTTTTTTTTTTTTTTTAAGTTACTCATGCAGACTAGCAAAAAACATACGGTCTCATACGGTTTGTGCACACGGTGACAAGTGATGGCCAGATATGGGAATCTTTCCTTAAAGGGAATGTACATCATTGGCTTTTGCTGTAATTTTCAGCAATGAAGTATTTGAGGGGTTAGTATAATAGATCAAATATTGTTACACTGACATGTTTGAAGGTTTGTGTTCAAAAATGCTGGAAAAACCAAGAAAAACAAAAATGTTCAAGTAGTCTGGTTCCCTGACTCCACTAAAAATGAAATGGATCAATTTATAGATGCAGGAAAATTGTAAGGTAGGGGAACCAGTCTAGCTGGCCTGCACCCGTTCATAAACATGTAACCAATAGCAAACAAAATTTGAACTGAAAAAAAATGGTAAATTTGGAGCAGCAGTTGAAAAATAGTTAGGTTTTTCCAACAGTGGTCGGACGACCACCATTGGAAATGTATACAAAAATACCATTTTCTTGAAAATGACTTCACACCAGGTGCCATAATTTTACAGGATGCTAAAGGCGAAGTAAAAAAAAAAACATGTTTAGCGTCCCCGCCCGCTTCCTTTTTAGAGGCTGCCTCCTTTTTTTTTTCTTTTTTTTTTTTTTAAATATGGTGCAATTGCGCAGAAGAGATGTTCGGTTCTGCATAGTTACATCATTTTGGTCTCATTTTCTGTTGCATCTTGCCCATAAGAAGCCAATATGGCATTTCCTGAGTCCAAGTGGCGGCCATTTTGAAAAAAGCTGGTAACCATCTTGAAAAATAGCCCGGCCGCGTTGTCTTGAAAAATGTGTCGGGCGGCCATTTTGAAAAGAAAAAAGAAAAAAAAAAAGGGCCTCCTCCTTCCTTTTTGTCAAAGAGGCAGGACGCTAAACATGTTTTTTTTTTTATTTTGCCTAAGACTGTCATTTACCAACATCCTAGTAAGATATTTCGTAAAAACTCGGTAAAACCTTCTAATCTCACAGTACAGGTACACAGTAAATTGACATATCTTACTTGCCTACGGACAGATGTTATAAGTTAATGTAAGTTATAAGTTTTAATGTTTGTATTTTTGTATTTGTGTACTTTTTACATTCGTGCTTTTTATGTGTTTTAAACCAAATAACGTGTAAAAAGGCCATGGAATTTCCCGCACTGGGATAATAAAGTTTTATTGTATTGTATTGTTTTATTTTTTGATGTTTGCAAATGTTGTTATTTCCCTTTAAGTTTTTACCCGCAACGCAAATGCCCAAACCTCGACGGGCACTCAATTGTGGAAAATACCATGCGCAATGCTATATAATCGTGTACAACATCTCGCACGGTCGTGGTTGTCTCCATGTCAAAGTCAACTTCCCCAACGGTGGAATTGTCCTGATCGAGTCAAGTTGTCTCAACGGTCGAGGTGTCTCAACGGTCAAGTTGTCTCAACGGTTGAGTTACAGTCCCAGATTCATGTTATCAATATCATTATTAGCAATGAATGACCAATGTACCCCTAGAACTATACCCATAGTTCTAGGGGTATGACCCTTGCTCTATGGAATGAGATGATATGAAGAAAACAGTGGCGTTGTCACGCCCCAACTATCGCATCGGTCCCAACTATAGTTGGGACTGTCCCAACTATAGTGCGGCAGTTGGGTCGGCCCAACTATAGTTAGGACTGGAGTTGCGCCGGATGCTTCATGCTTGATAGATCTTGTTGGATTAAATGTTCCGCGGCGCTGGCACCGTGTATTCGTCGTGCATGCATGCATGCCGCAAGGCTGGCCGGTCACGTGGTACTGCCTAGTTGGATGAGTTGTCCAGCTGCTGGGTTTTATTATCCAGCAACATTTTGCAAAATTCAAAGATTGCCATGGCCGGCCAACTATAGATGGGCCCCACCCATAGCTAATGTCAAAGGTCCCAAGTCGGACATGTAAGCAGAGCTGTATAGAGAATGTTTTATAGTCGTACATCAATGTAAACTATAGTTGGGACTGCCAAATAAAAATATTGCGGTGGCCCAACTACAGATGGTCCCCACCCATAGATCATTTCATTGGTCCCCAGTAAAGTCAGATGTGTATTAGAGTTGTAGGGAATGTTTTATAATCGTACAACAATGTACACTATAGTTGGGACCGCAAAATAAAAAGATTGGGGTGGCCCAACTATAGATTCGCCCCATCAATAGCTAATTTCAGTGGTCCCCAGTAAAGTCAGACGTGTATCAGAGCTGTAGGGAACGTTTTATGGTTGTACATCAATGTAAACTATAGTTGGGACACCGCAAAATAAAAAGATCGGAGTGGCCCAACTATAGATGGGCCAGCCCAACAATGGAACTTACAGTTGGGACCGTCCCAACTATAGTTGGGACAGGCCCAACTATAGTTGGGCCAGCCCAACTGTGGAACTACAGTTGGGACAGGCCCAACTATAGTTGGGACAGGCCCAACTATAGTTGGGACCAATGCGATAGTTGGGGCGTGACAGTTTCAGCATGGTCAGGCTGCAACATTTTTTCATTTTCCGACCGGGTAATTATAAGTCTAAGTGCTTTTTCAATCCCAAATTCTCTCAAACGTTTTGTCAAAGAGGAGGTGGTCTAAACAGCTGATAAAACGTGGCATTCAACTCCACCAATGTTACCACCACAAAGTCAATTGCATCGTTTCTCCTGGAATCTTCTTACCCATCATTGCTGGTCCGTGGAGCGCATATCTTATGTTATGGTTGAACTTTGTGCTGACGATGCCAAACTTGCACGAATGTAATGTACAGTGCAGTGTGCAACACGTGGACAGCTAGGCCAGCTGGCCAGCTGGCAGATTGAGACTGGTTCCCGGCTTCCCGCTCAAAAAATAATGAACGGACGGAACCAGTGTAAGCAGGAATGCCGGATGCGGAGCGAGCGAAGGGGCGGGAGGGGGGGGGGGGGTATCCCTAAAAGCGGCCACGGCTTTGCTTGTGAGCCAATTAACCCGTTGTGAGGGATAATCTTTTTTAGGAATGATCTTTTGTGCTTATGGAGGAAGGCTCCCTCAGTAGTAAGCAATCTCTAAATAAAATGTGTGCTTGGGAGGTTGAGGGTGCATGCACACCGGTATAATAGTCCTAAATCCTTACACCGCCACACTCATGAACAGACGTTTTACCTCAAAATGCATATCAATGAACCTCTGGCGCGGACTTAGGGCTTCCAATTCCAGGCATTTTGGATGCAATTGGGCTCAAAAGTGGCGTTATTTAGCCATGTTGTGGAGCGATCGTTTTAGATGGCTACTTTTCTGCTTTGCGAAAAATAGGGGCCATCTTTTTTGGCCGTGAAAATTTCTCAAAAATTCAATGGGCAACCCACCAAAAAAAATGAAAGGAAAATGAAAGATGACATGTTGATCATCATTTTTCCGTGCAGTTTAAATACTTGTGCGAGTTCTGAGTATTTTTAAAAGAATTTTGAATTATGGGCACTGGTGTCTATGGGAATGTTAATGCAGAGGTGCATGCCGCCTTAAACACTATTCAACATGTTAAACACCGGTTGGAGCCTGGATGCATCCAAGCCAAATGCTGGTTGGAGTCTGGATGCAGCGAGGATACTTAGCAATAGCAGCATATGAGACTCCAACCTGTCTTAAACAGAGTGTTTATTTTATTACCCCCACCCATTAGATAGAGGCCATGTGTCTGGTGAAAAAAGTACCTGTTTATCTCAGAATGAAATTGCGTGTCCCCTCGTCCCCCCCCCCCCCTCCCATGATGAGAACCCTGGCTATGCTGCTGGCCAATCAAGGCCCAAGTTACATTTTAATTGAACACGTAAAAGAAAAACCTTGCAAGGCATCCTCCAAAATACATCTTGTAGCCCTAATATCCAAGATACTGTTTTACACATGCACAGGAATAAGAGGGCATCTGGACACAGACTTGAACAGTATCCCCTGACCCCCCCCCCCCAAAAAAAAGAGGCTTTAAAACTGATTCAAATCATGGCAAATGAATCAGAATCATAATATACATAATTTAACATTTTAAGTCATTTTAATATCCATCACAACCAGAAGTGACAAAATACAAAAGTATATTTATGTTTAAAAAGTCACAAGTAAAAAATATATTGCATGCTAACAAAGCTAGGTGCAGTAACATAATACACTCAATGGTCCACTTAGCTTTTCTAATACTAATAGGAAGGCCACTTTGTCAAGGTATGAAGGTTAAAAAATATATGCTTAAAAAAATCTATTACAAACAAAAACTTCTAAAAATCAGTACTGCTAACACCTGTTTTTTTTTCAAACCACACAGAGACCTTCTGTGAATGGCACTTATACATATATATGTTTGAATTTTTCACACATTTTGGTCAAGACAAAAGGAACTCCTATATTTTGGGGTTTCTTTCAAGCACCACCATTCCGGAATTTCTGTACAAATGACGTAAAAAGTGTTAAATATATGTATAAAAAAACCTTCAAACACAGGGACACGTACATGAACATGCAATGAAGTATTTGAGACATTAAATTTAACCCGAACTCCCTAGGGAGTGTGAAGAAAATAAAACATTACTCAAAGCACTGCTGGATTTCCAAAGGGAAAACTTAATAGACAGAGACATTACAAACCACATTTACATGTATCTTATTTATCAGGTAGTACTGAACATTATTTCATTTAGAAATCATTAACACGACTTCTGGATGGCAACACCAATCCAAACATTGTACATCTCACTTTTTTGTTTAAATTACTTTTGACTTGTGATATGCATCGGGCTGCACTAAATAGTGCACCATGTGAATTTCCATTCTGTTTCGGTTCATTTTGGTTTATTTCAGGTTTTTCCAAAATGGCTTTACCGACACGACCCGAAAATCGCAAACGCAAAATCGAAACTGACCCAACCCGACTAAAATATTGGACAACCTGACCCTAAGTCGGGTCGGGTTGGTTTTGTTTTTTGGTCGGGTTTGCACAAAATTACTTTTGACATGAAAGGGTACGAAAGTGATGTAAACCCTGTCCCATAACATATCGTGCCCACTCTTTGAGGTGTACATTTCACTTTCTTCCACCGACAAATATGATGTTTCGGATACAAAAATACAAAAATATCAAATTCAATTACAAGTATTATACTGAAATCTACAGAAAAGTTTTTAAAAGTTCATAAAAGTACTCCAAAATGTACAATGTTTATACAAAATAAAGTCCAAAATTTCTTGAATGCCAACTTGCATAAAAATAGAACCAGGAGTCAACATGTTAGACAAATGTTTACCATTCGATGCTATTCAAAGGAACAACGATTAAAAACTACGCTCAAACCACCACCCAGTTTTCTAAAGGTGCCGAACTGAAAAAAAAGTGTATTCATTAAATCTGTGTTCTCAGCAAAAACTAATATTAAAACAGTTACACAATATGACATATGAGTGAATGTGTTTGCTGCAGATAACCTGTCCTGGCTAAGCACACATGTTCAGTGCAGCTCCACAAAATTGGCTGGAGAGGTCTAATGCCTGCATGTTAACTCTTGTCAAGGGCATTGCTAAACAAAAACAGCAAGTTTTATCCAAAAATTACAGGACAAAACAAAGGGCATTTTAAGTACATCTTATGGGCTCATCTGTGATGCGATCAAGCTAAATGAGTCGTTTGTCGACCCCAGTTAAAATTGGTTTTATTACGGATATGAAAAGAACACAATTTCAGCATTATTGCAGTGAAAACCGCATGCTGATACCATCTTTAGTTTAAAAATTCTGGAAGTCAGAACACCAAGAAATATGATGAAGTGATGTGATGAGGTGGTCCTAGTTTGGCCTGTGTCTCCAAATGAAAATTCCAGACAAACGACTCATGTAGCTTGATTGCATCACATTTGAATGTTGAATGTGGTCACGCATTGCGGTAATGCTGTGAGGCAGTATCTCAAAAACTTGGAATGTTCCCGTTGTGGAATGTTTCTTCTTTGGAAGGTCACCGGTTCTCAATTTACACAAAGCATTTCCCCATTTATTTACCAGCTGGAAATGCTATAATGGGCACAGCCTGGTAATTTTACATGTACATCATGGGTCAATCAGTCAATCCATAAATATTAAAAATTACTAGCACTCTCTTTTTGCAAAGCTTATCTACAGAGTCTGAAGGTGTAGTATGTACTGTATATGATCTTTATCCCATCTCATTTGGATATCCCAGTCAATAGGTACAGCTAATTATTAATGAAAGGACTTGAATTCCAAGTTAGGCCACTTTTCAGATTATCTGGTATCTAATGAAAGGCATTCACATACTAAGAAGGTGTGTGAATGCCTTTCACTCGGGACAAGATAATATGAAAAGTAACCCAAGCAGATTTTGACAGTCTTTACAAGCTTTGCCGAAACTTTTTATAAACAAAAGGTCCAAATCAGACAGGACAAAAATCCTATCGTGGGTAAAGAAACACTTCATCATCTCATGGTAATTTTTTTTACAACAAAAACACAATTTAGTCCTTCCAGCAAATCAGCAAAATGTGGTGTTTGACTACTAACAATAATTACAACTGTTTATTTAAAAGCAACAAATTCTCATGAAAAGCTGTTAGGCCATCAGCCTCCATCCAAAATTGTGGCCACCGGTATCAAATGAGGGGAGTAATCGTCATAGTGATATTTGGCAAGGTATACACCTCCAGAGTTGGAAAATATGTGATAGCATTGCAGTGGTGGCAGCTTTTTGGGTGTTATCACCTTGTTTTCAAAATGTCCATCAAAATGTTTGTTACCATTCTAGGGGCGGTATACCTTGCGCATGCGCACTATAATCATTTATGCCCTGATTTGATACTGACCAAACCCCCAGGCATGCCAGGCTGATGGCCTATGTATAGTTATGACATAAAAACAGGAAGACTGTGAAAATAAATGAGTATTAAAATTTCACGCTTGTCATCATACGTTTCATACGTTTTAGTGGGAATTTCAGAGACCTTTGCAAAATTTGTTTGTGCAAGTAAAGTCAACTTTCAAAGACTTTGCAAAATGAATGACACATCTTGATATGTGACCAAAAAGCAATACTCCTCCTATAAGGCAAGACTTCAGATACATGTACAATAGTTTTCAGTTACAATACAAGAATGCTTGTGAGAACACTGCTCAAGGTAATCTTGAGACACAATTTTGAAGGCACTTTACTGTTTTGTATTTCTCTGGCTACAGAATCATTCAGATGCAAGAAACAAATAGAAATGTTACTGTGAGCTATATATAAAAATAAAGGAATGCTTTGTACAAATAATGCTTTGAAAAAAATAGATGCTTTCAATATGTTGTAGTAAACCTACAACATAACGTCGCGCTTTGTTTACATGTGGACTTTCCAATTGAACCTTGGCTCCTATATGACAATTTTGTACTTTATGTTCAATGAAGGATACCCTGAGCCTCAATCCTTCAAGATTGTTAGACAGTCCTGCCTCTGAAAATGCATTCATCCTCAATCCTTCAAAATCCTCCTCTTCTTCAAACACCATTCATCCTCAATCCTCCTCTTCTTCAACACCATTCATCCTAAATCCTCCAAAATCCTCCTTTTCTTCAAACATTATTCATCCTCAATCCTCCAAAATCCTCCTCTTCTTCAAACACCATTCATCCTCAATCCTCCAAAATCCTCCTCTTCTTCAAACACCATTCATCCTCAATCCTCCAAAATCCTCCTCTTCTTCAAACACCATTCATCCTCAATCCTTCAAAATCCTCCTCTTCTTCAAACGCCATTCATCCTCAATCCTCCAAAATCCTCATGTTTCTCAAACACCATTCATCCTCAATCCTCCAAAATCCTCCTCCTCTTCAAACACCATTCATCCTCAATCCTCCAAAATCCTCCTCTTCTTTAAACACCATTCATCCTCAATCCTTCTCTTCTTCAAACACCATTCATCCTCAATCCTCCAAAATCCTCATGTGCTTCAACACCATTCAACCCCAATCCGATCCTGTGTTTCAATCACCATTCATCCAAAATTCCTCCAAAACCACCAGAAGGATTTTGGAGGGTTGAGGGTTAAGGTGGGTTAAGGTTAAGGAATTGAGAAAACTGACTGTTCCTTATTATCCTTTGTACAAGATTTGACTGATTACTTAAAGGAAGATCTGCCAACTTGTGACTTGGTTTCTTGGGTTGGGTCACATTAGGGGTGTGCATTTACGGATAGTACAGGAGCCAGGTACCGATTGTAAAAACAACACGGGTACCAGTTAAAGAAACCCAACGCCAAACATGCTTAAACTCAAATCTCGGAAGTTGCTGTCATTTGTTTACAAAGGTCTGCAAGATAATATTACCGCATCGGCGCATCAATACAGCAAGATACAGTGAGCTTTATAGCTTTACAGTGTAAACGGCAGCTTTTGCGAGCATCACAAATGTGGAAAATATTTTGTTTTCCCATATGGCCTGGTTTTCATTTTGAAAAAAAAAACAACAACCCACAAATGACTTCAAAACCTTTCTTTTTCATTGTCTGAGAAGTAACATAGTAATTTGTGAAATTGGTCACGGGTACGCGATCCCATAATCTAGAACCGGTTCATGACATTAGCGGCGGGGTACTCGGGTACCTGGTTCCGATGCACAACCCTAGTCACATTTGGTTTACACTTGACATCCTGCTTGGCCATCATGAACAAAAAGGAAGACCTAACTAAAGACATTCGCCCTGGCACTCAAGTAATTTAATATTTATAACTCTTTGCCTCACAGTAAGTTTCCTACTGAAGACCCATCTGAAAAGACCTCTCATCTGAAAAGCTGCAGTTGCATGCCAGCCAGTCATGTCCAGTCCAGCTAGTGTTCATTGCTATTGCATTGATACTAGACCCCCAAAAATATCATTTTGGAATTTCCAAACCAGTGACTTAGAAAACACAACATTCACCACAGCAAAATTACTTGGATTACAAATCAGTATTTGCCTCGGGGATCAACTCTGCGTCTTCGCAGCTAGCAGCAGAAGCGGAGCTGTCTTTGTCGTCATCCGGAAGCGCTATGGTGACCCGTTTGTGACAAGTGACCTTGTCTTTCTTGTCGTTGTTCTCCGCCGTGCTTGACTGCGCGGCTTTGACGTTTGCCTCCCGCATTTGATTGCTGAACACATCGTCGTCGGGTGCGTTCTCGGGCACGCCCGACTGAGGAGGGGTGGGCGAGACCATCCCTTCAAAGTCAGACTCGCTGTTGAGCAGCCGAGAGAACTCCATCGTCACCCGGTGGAGCTTCTTGCTGTCCCGGTTCACTTCATTCTTATTCTTCCGTCTCGGCGCAGGCTTAAATTTGTCCACAAACTCCCGCAAGTATGACATGCAGCCAAGCTTACCTTGCTGTAGAGATAAAATAGTTGCAGTAGTGAAAAACTAGTTCTTTGGGGAAGGGGGGGGGGGGGGGGGGACGGGTCGCATAATGCCAACAGGTACTTTTATGGACTTATAAAAACTACATAAATACAATGTAATACAATATAGTACAGGTGTTACAGGGTTAATACAGCTGAATCAAATCCCATATGCAGTGACTTGGAATCAAACTCAAGTGCAAAGACCTGTGTGTTCTGGTACTTTTTCAAGCTATCCCCAAAATTTGTCCACACAATGGCCAATTTCCCCAACAACTTCCATGAAAAGGTCGTGTTTTTTTCTCAACACTTTGGTTCCTCCCCCCCCCCCCAACATCCCAAAGAACACTCCTTTTCATCTGCAACTTTCACCACAACAATAAAGCCTACAGTTTTCTCTCTTGGTGCCTGAATGTACTGAATGTACATGTACCGGTACGTGTATCTGAATTCTGTCAACACACTGTGATTTTCCCCATACATTTCATGACAACAGACAAGTCTATATTTCCTTCACTGTGCCTCATTTTGTTTCAACCAGGTATCCTATGTCTGTCCGCTATATTCTCCCCGACAACTTCCAGAAGGCCAAAACAAACTTGTTATGTTGGCCTCACATGAAAAATATCAGGAGGGTCGGTTAATCAGGCCTTTTTTTGGGGGGGGGGGGGGGGGGGGGTATACATAGTTCACATATAGGCCTACCCTTCTATTCGGTTATCAGTTCCCCTCTCCCAACGCACATACATCAATTGTTAAGCCTACATGTACTGCACACGCCAACTTTAATGTGTACATGCATGTGATAAAATGTACAGTGCATGTACACATGTATACAATGTATGCAGTACATCACACCATATGCCCAAACCTCAGTTACACGTACAAAATACTTAGTAAATTTGAACTGTACTACCATTAAGGTATGTACGTTTTGTAACGAAATGCACAATTATGGCATTACAAAGAAACAGTAATGGTAAGGTTAAAGTTTATTTAACTTTTTCAAGAGGAAAAAAAAATCTGAGATTTCAAGATTTTTGGGTCGGTCGGATGAGGGCAACGCAATTTTTTGGGGCCTAATTTTGGAAAAACTTCTGACCTCGATGAGGAACTCCTGGTCTTTTGGCTCCATCTTGAAGTCCATGGCATCCAGATATTTGCAGTCTATTCCAATGGTGCGGTACAGGTCATTATCCTGCGAGAAATGGCAAAACAAATTGACAAAATCGTTCAACATGCACTAACAACACGCAACAAATTGAGTAAATCTTGCCCTTTCAGAAAAAAATGAGCCAGTTTAAAGATACAATGTAAAACAGTTACTTTTAGGTATCATTTAATTGACATTCATAAATACCTAAGACAATTTACCCATTCCTATTGGTCGAGAGCCCGCCACTTGGCCAGTTTTGAACCGTTGATAAATACATGGCTGGCTGGTCTTAAACACTTTTCCAGTGTCACATTTTTACTCCTATGATATCCGGTGCCAGCACCTTTGCAGTAGTTGAATGTTCACAATCTTCATGTAGGCATGCAAAATACTACCTGTGAGTCAGTATTTCATAGTCCTAAATTCACACTACACCGGTACATCCGCGTTGTGCGCCGCATCATGCAGTTTGCACGACGCGCGCGTCAATCTCCATATAAGGAGTTGTTTACCAGAGGACCTTACCATTGTGTGGCCAGAGGGGTGTTTTGTTGATCGAAATCGTTGAAAATTTATAATTTTTGACTTGTTTTGACTTTTGGACCGAAAATTTTTGAATAAATATGTGCTTGGCCGGTATTAAACACTACGTTTAAGACCGGTTGGAGTCTGGATGCTGGTAATCACCCAAACCGAAGTGTTTAAAACTAGCCAGTGGGTGTTTATCAACTTTTTTAAGACCGGCCACGTGACGGGCTTTCGACCAATTGGAATGGGTAAAATGTCTTGGGTATATATGAATATTGTTTAATAATCTCAACTGAAGAAATGTTAAATTGGAAACATTAAATCACTGAGAGGCTTGTGTTGACATTTATACAATGAACTTTGAAGAACACAAATTTCTTACCTGAATGAAGATTCTTTTCATGTTCAGTAGTAGGCACTCCATCATTGTGGCGAAGAAGTCCATCATTGACGTGATTTCTCGTCTCTCGTAACCTCGGAAGGCCGACAGGAGCTTCAAGCCACGCTTCTCCGCCCAGTACACCAACTCCCTGAAGCTCACCTGTGGCAGAAACAATCACAGGTCAAGTCAACCAAATATTCGAAAGGCACTTTTTTCTATGCATGGTAGGATGCCATGGTCCAGTGGTTACAGTGTTTGACTTGTTTAGCATGGTACGCGGATTCGAACCCTACCAGGAACATGGTGTTTGTTCCCTTGGGCAAGACACTCTCCACCCGGGAGTAGTAAAGGGTACCTGTGAGGGTAGAGGACCGAATGTGCACTAAGATTGGCTGTCGCGTGGTCTCACGGCCTGATGAATGGGGGAATAATTGTAAAGTACTTTGAGATTGTTGATAAGATGGAAAGCGCTATATAAGCATTACAATTTATTACCTCCATCGAGGAGGTTATGTTTTCATGGGATTTGGTTAGTTTGATGGCTGGTTGGTTTGTCTGTTAACAAGATAACTCAAAACTTATGGACTGATTTGCATGATAAAACAAATTAAGGGGTGGTCTTTGGTACAAGAACAAATCGATCAGCTTTTGGAAGTGATCTGGATCTGGGTCCGGAAACTTCACCGTTTATGCGAGTATTTCTTGTGGGTGTACTGACGATATGGCAGGGAATTGTTTAGCCTTGGCAGAGGTTTGTGCTCTCTGGGTGCTTTCTAGTTTATTCACTTGTTAAGAGAACAGTTTACTTTTATTACATTTTTTGTGACATATTTATCGAACTCGTTATTTTGCTATGTACCAGATATCTTTTATTTATTGATGTATTTCTCTAAAGGAGTATGAAATAAATGTTTTTTTTTAATTGAATTGAATGTATTTATTGTGTCTCAAGGTCTCAAGGAGATAATGGAAAAACTTCAACGGTGTGACTTTAATCGTATAGTTGCGTGGTTTCATTGTTCATCAAATATCACACTTTTGTCGAAAGCAATGGTACCCCTCTGTCACAAATTGTGCACTGTGTAGGTGGTTAGGGATAAAGGCTTGGCAGAATAATGAAATACATCATCGAAACCTTTGAATCATGATAATCAGATACTGCGGATCTTATCGTCATGTACAATAATGGCACATACTTCTCCGTTCTGGTCAAAATCCAGCTTGTTGAAAATCTTCTCTGGATCCAAGCCTTCCTCACCAAACAACATCGTCTTGTAACTATCTGTGAATCCGGAATCTTCCTAGAAATATAACAGAAGGACTTTCAAAGTTTTACAGAAATGAAATGACTCAATTTGAAATTATTAACTGTATGACCACACATATTTAAGCCAGGTATAGACAAATCTGGCGGCAGCCATTTTCTGCGGTGGTGCAAGGCTCGCGCAAGTCGCGCTCAGGTAATACGCACGCACTCTGGGCTCCTTTGGCCAATAGGAATGCTGAAATGTGCGTCTTTAAGAATGTGTGCAGCTAGGCCTGAGCGTGACACCACCTCAGTCAAAGCTTCTCATTCTGGTCGCCAGATCCCATTACTATACCTCATACATATTCATGATCGAGAGCCGAACGTTCACTGGTCAATTCACCATCACGTGCCAGATGTTATTCTTGCTGTTTACCAAACGCACGCGCGAGGATTCACGCACATTGTAAATACGCATGCGTAGTAGACTGTCGCATGGGTTACCCGTGCGACAGTCTACTACGCATGCGCTTTACAGAGCAATCGAGGAACTGTCGCACGGGTGCAGTACGCACGCGCGAACATCGCACAGGAGAGATGCATGGTTGCACGGTTCGCGTAAATGTTAATTTACAGAGCTCAATGATGCCATACTGGAGAAAATGTATAGACCGTGTAAAGATGTCTCCTGTACAAAAGAAAGTTGTACACATTGCAAACAACTGTATTTACAACTGTAGTAACTGTACTATATTGCAAACGAACCGAACTAGTAATTGAAGTTGAATCTTTTGGTGAGCTGTACAAGTTTCCCCAAATTTTGTTTTAGGTGCATAATAATAAAACAAAATTCGGCAACTGAATATGTATGAGGTATAGTAAAACAAATATAACATGGTTTATTTCGGGTGGACAGTCGATATTAGCTCCCCTCGGTATTGGAAGTTGACAAACTAGTTCCCTCGGCTTCGCTTCGGGAACTAGTTTGTCAACTTCCAATACCTCGGGGAGCGAATATCGACTGTCCACCCTCAAACCATGTTATATTTGTATACTATAAGGACTACGAGCACAAACAAGAGATGGCACTTTTTGTCTGTCAAGAGCTCCGGCAGTTGACGCATCGAATGCATGTACTACTGTAATTTTCGGAATATAAGCCGCGCGGCGTATAAGCCGCAGCACGCAAAAATCTGCAAATTAAGATTTGAAGTCGGCGTATAAACCGCACCGGCGTATAAGCCGCACCGACGGCAGCGGTTTCAATTTTCTAAGGCCTCCAAATTCTAGCCAAAATGCTCTGAACCAGTTCCATTTACACTACAGAAGCTATAAAAAGGGCCACAAAAGTTGTATCAAATCATTTACAATCGATACTCTCACAAACAAATGTGGAAAATGATGATGAGAAATAAACACCGGGATTTGCTGCCGGCTGCCCCGTCCGGTCCCCGGCGCCGGCCTATGACAACATTTTCCTGCAGCACGTGAGAGAGAACCCACCGTGATTTTCCCCCATTGTGTGTGTTGTCTGACTGGAGCGCTACATACAAATCTTGCTTTGTGGCAACAGATGCTGATTTGTTTTGTCCTAAAAATATACAGGTCCGTTTTTATCTCAAAACTTATCAAATTTTTGTGATTACTAACGAGCAGTATTCAAGTTTCGATCGTAACTTTCTTCGAAAATAGTCAAAACGATGCTGCCATTTTCATGGACGAATCCATTAATTTTGTAAGGGGTGATGTAGTCCCTGTTTTGAGGTTTACATCGTTTCTTGAATACATTTCAAGTACAAAAATTATATTGTGACGTTGAACAACTGATTATCGAATAAAGAAATGTTTCGGACACCATAAAAAGTATTAGTCGTCTTTTTTCTTTTTTTAAACAGCGGAAATGTTGGTAATTATTGTTTCCAAGATAGTACACCCCTATATTATCTCAAATGGTGTGGTCCGCTGGGGAAAGCATGCTGCATGCAGCAGCACTAGAATCACGTACGGCTTGTTGCAAGCGTCGATCGAAGACAACTTTCACCGTACTTTTTACCGCTCGGCACCTTTACGTGGCACGTGGTTTCGGTTCGTTAATGACTTTCTTAATTGATAATTCATTTCAGCAACATATCTCTTCTTAAACCAGTACATGTACATTAAATACACATGTCAATTTCATTTTTATTCTTCAAGGATCGGCGTATAAGCCGCCCTGTGTATAAGCCGCAGTAAACATTTTCATGGGCAAAATCAACGTATAAGCCACGGCTTATATTCTGAAAATTACGGTAGTTCAAGCGCATGTCGCAGATACATGTAGTATGCACAATTAATTCTATACGGAATCTGCACAACACCACCGTGTCTCCTCTTGAGTGTTAGACGCCTTCAGCAATAATAATTTGGGAGGCTAATCATCCTTACTCGCAGCTGGGATGCTGAATTGCGAAGGACGCAGCTACAACGTGGTCGGGCCGCTGGCACGTAAAGGCGCCTCTGGCTGCCGGCCACATCGACCCATATATGACCACGGAGCACAGCCTGAGATCAAAAGTGTTTGATTTTTACGGAGGGAGGAAAACCGGAGGGCCCGGAGAAAAACCCTTGTGGCACAGGAGAGAACCAACGCACAACTCTACTCACATGCGATCCGTGGCCAGGATCTGAACCGTGGTCACCTTGGTGAGAGGCGAGCGCTTTACGCACAACCATCCGTGCCACCTAGCAATGCATGCACTCAAGAGATCTTCCAAGTGGACCGTGCCAACTTTTTTTCTTTTAACCCTTGAGGGGGGTACTTGTGCACGGTGTCCAAAAGCATCCAAACAGAGCCATCAATTTCTACTTCAAATGGCATAGATTACGCAAAACTTAAATTCGCCAAATTTGTGTGAATTCGATGGAATTGGCTGAACAACACAAAATGTCCCTCAAACAAATGGTTACTTTGTAAGCTATGTACCTCACTTAATACGGTTATTATGATGTTAACATTAACTAAGGGCAATTGTTTGCCATTGATGTCTTGGATGCACTCCTCCGTCGTGCATCTCTTGTTCCATTGTTTTGAAAATGGTAACGGAAAACCTTCTTGGGAAAGTTTGGTGTACAACGTTATGAGCACATCTAAGACACCCTGTGTAAGGCTATTGGATGTGGGTTTTGCGACAAAAAAAACTATCTCTTCAAGATAAAAGACACTGACAATAATTATGTACTCTTTGCAAGGCAGCTATCTTGGCGGTACGGTGCATTTGTTTTGCAGGGATACACAATACACTGATTCAAAATAACAAACCACACCCCCAAGATGGCTGATGTATGCAAATGGTCTTTAGAATGAATCACTAACGTGGTACGGGTACTAGTCCAGCATCACAGTGATAACAGGTTCGACTCCTGCTTCTGTCAATTTTTGGGGGGGGGTCCGTGTGATTAGAGTTTGTGACTCAAGATCAGAGGGTCCGGGGTTCGAATCCACCTGCTGGTCATATGTTGTGTCCTTGGGCAAGCCACTTCACCCCTACCTGCCTCACTCCACTCAGTCGTTTCATGTCAAGGAAACTGGAGATAAATGACGGCCTGATGGGCCATATTGGCTCGTGACAGACTTTACTCTTACTTTATCTAAGGCCAAAAAAAAAAAGTCTCCGGTTTCTGGTATGCGCGCGCGTCTTTTTTTTTTCAATGAAAGATGATGTCTCAAAACCGCCAAACTCACTGGTTTGACTGGAATCCTGCTGCTGCAAAATTTTAACGTGTTTTTAGATTGGGTTATGGTCGAGAATAAGCTTTATGTGGCCTCTCTGGACTCCCATATATTTGCACTAAGTTTAGTCGGGCACCATTTGCAGTCATCAACACACATTTGAAGCAAAAAAATCAGGTAAAAAAAAAAAAAAAGCTGCGTCGCCGCATCACTTTTTGGGCAAAGCTCCATACCAGAAACCGGAGACTTTTTTGGGGGGGCCTAACTTACATTATTGAATGCTTTCTTCCACTCGTCCAGCGTGATGTTACCGTCCATGTTCAGGTCTTGTTTGTTCAGTTCGGCCACCAGCTTGTCCATGGCTTCCACCAGGCTGTTGTGCTGGGCCTCGATGTATTCATTGCTGACCTTCTTCATTCGTTTCCTGCCAAATCAAGACAACCGATGCTCTCCTGACATACTTGAATTAATTAAATAGTGACTTTGGACGTAATCACTGGCTACATGACATATGCACGCCTATGGCTTCTGATCAACACTCCGTGAACAAAGCTATTTACAAATTGGGGAACCCCCAACACGTAGGGCTGGACGACTCAGTTGGTAGAGCGCTGGAATGGTAATTCGGAGGTCGCAGGTTCAAATCGGCTGAGTGTTCCCTAACTCTGTTTAAGACCGGTGGGAGTCTGGATGGGTGATAATTATCACCCATACAGACTCTCACCGATCTTAAACAGAGTGTTTAATACCCACCGAACACATATTTATTCCCATTCGTAAATACCTTTTCGGTAAAAAACCCAAATTTTTTTCGGTCCAAAAATCGAAAAACAAGTCAAAACCTGGATGTTGCCAGGCATTTTGTTCAACATTTTTACTTCATGTTTTACGAAACACCCCTCTGACTATAATATGGAATGCCCCTCCACAACTCGTTACCTTATAAGGACATTGGCGTGCGCGTCGCGCATACTGCACGTTGTTGCACAAAACGTAGCTGGGCTGGTGTAGTGTGAATTTCGAACCATGTAATACTGATTAACTGGTAGTATTGCGCACGCATAAGTGAGGAATGTGAACGTTCAACCAATGAAACGTTAAAAGGCACCGGATTCCATGGGAGTCTAAATTTCATGTGACACTAGCCATGTTTTATCATCCGTTTAAGACCGGCCACGTGACGGGTTCTCGACCAATAGGAATGCGTGAACTGTCTTAGGTATTTAGGAATTGGACTTAGCAGACATGGTTCTTTGGGTTGGAATTTGAACTGGCTTTTCTAGACTTACTTGGCAAGTTTTGTTGGAGGTACCGCCTGTACGTAGTCCTGGTAGTATGAGTGGCGTTCATTCAATGCATCCTTCATCACCTCAGGCTCAAAATCTGAATACTAGAAGATAGTTGGACAGACGAAAAAAATGTCACTCGCATTCTTATCGAGACAACTTACAAATCTAACATGTTGGAGTTTCTGGTCAAGAAGTACTGTGATAATTGAAAAAAAAAAGGGGGCATTTTCATTTTCACTCATTGCCCCAGTTTTGACTTCTAGTTAAAAAAAAACACGCTCAGGCAATACAAGCAACCCGTTGCAAGGTCCACACTTTTTACAAGGCAAATTTGTTATCCCCAAAATTATAATTATAGTTTGGGGGCTAATCATCCTTACTCGCAGCTGAGAAGCTGGACTGCGAAGGACGCGGCTACAACATGGTCGAGCCGAAGGCATGTAAAGGCACCTTTGGCAGCCGCCATACGACCCATGTATGACAACAGAGCACAGCCAGAGATTGAAAACCGGAGAGCCGGGAGAGAAACCCTCGTGGCACAGGAGAGAATCAATGAACAACTCTACTCACATATGGTCCTAGCCGGGAATCAAACCCGTGCCACAGTGGTGAGAAGCAAGCGCTTTAAGCACTAGCCACCCAGGCCACTTTTAAATGACAACATACTAGATGGAAACATTCCAGGAAGTGTTTGAGCCAGTGAACCTTTACTTCAAATGATGTTATTCTAAAATTAAACTCAGTGCATTCCTAAGAAAAAATGTTACATGCGTACTTCCAGGACTTACTTTTTGATTTGTTTGAAATAATTTGTTTAATTTGAACAAAGAAACTGACTGGAGCGGGGTTTGAACCTACAACTTCCGGATTACCATTCGGGGGCTGCTACCAACTGAGCTATTCAGCCCTATGTTGGCGGTTCCCCATTTTTGTCAATGTCTTTGTTCAAGGGGTACCTGTCTGTTCAAAGAGCACGTAAAGACACGACACGACAAGTCCGTGTTTAATTGTGGCTGTGGGCTTTTCTGCCATCATTGTGAAGTTTGAACTCACCAAGAGCATGCCTAGCGTCCTCTCATTCTTGTGCCCGAAGCGTTCCTTGCGATCCCAGAGTTTGCGTATGTCTCGCAGCGGCTGTACCTTCTTGAGGAAAGTGTCTTCAGGTCTCATGGATAGATACCAACCTGCAATGTACAAGTAAAGACGTTATAGTCAAGACGTATGATAACAAAAAATCACGATAAGGAGTCAGACTCCAGTCAGTTGACGAAAACGAAAGCCGTCATTTTTATACCAGTGATCCAGAGGGCCAGTGTACTTTCCTCTTTGCACCTATCTCATCGACTCACTGACTGACCCACTTTAACGAATGAGTTACAATTGATTAAGCCTCACTTTGGCCCATAAATATATGTCTTCACACAAACTTCCTATGCTGTATTTGACTCAATTTTCAAATCTGACACGAATACTGAAATAAGCTGGTAGAAGAGACGGCCATCTGAGTATTTCGACGAAAAAGTGTAGTAAATAATCCCCGAATTTTTGGGAAAAAAAAGATTCGCACCCCAGTTGGATGCCTCCTGTATATTAGTATTTGTACATTTTTTGCATATCAATGTCAACTGTGTGTCCAATTGTGAGTTAATATTCCTACTCATTCAAAGGATGCAGTCAGCTCAATCTTGATCCTTGGGATTGAACTCAACTACAACACTTGACAGCTAAAAACATCAAAGTCATCCTCTCCCTCCCTTTCCGCAATAAGAGGAGAAAATGTCTGCAGTAAAAATCTCTAGTAATCAGACTGGAAGAGGGATTTGCCAAAAACAAATTTAACATTTAAGGCTTTGCATGGTGGAGTTTCAGTATCGTTTCGGTTTGCGGTAACACCAAGTGGTAATAACTACTGTCCCTCAGTAGATATGAAGTTCTAATTTCCAAAGTTTTAGAGACCAAAGACAAGTTCTTTTAGAACTTAAAGCAGGACTGTTCTTATCAGAACTAAAACTCATTGCGAAAGTTCTTAATAAGCAGGACAAGTTCTTATCAGAACTAAACATCTACTGAGAGAAAGTAGTTATTACCACATGGTGTTACCACAAACCGAAACAAAACAACTTGTTTACTTGATGGCATCTGAATAGTTGATTATTTCCTATCTTAGTTTGCTTTCAATACTTACCATCAAAGGCATGGATGGGATAATTCACCAAGAGGCCTCCGTCTACATAGTGGTCAGGGAAGGAACTGAGCGTGCTCTTAACTGTGCAGAAAACACCTGAAGAAAAAGAAACGATTGAGAAAAATCCATTCAGTTAGCAATATCATGCCAAGTACAGAAGCCAACTGGTGCCAATTTCACGGCGCTGTTAAGCACACAAATTTGCTTAGCACAAAAAAAGTGTGTCTTATAAAAGCAGGTTGCCAGCCAAAACTCCATGTGATGTATATTGCTCGTGATTAGTATCCAGATGTTGTTTGCTTATCATGAAAATCACATGGAGTTTTGGGCTGATAACCTACTTTCCTGGTGCAGGATTTGAACCCAGTTCCTGAGGTCCCAGGTTCAAATCTCAATGAAACGAGATGTGAACCCACAACCACAGGCTAGGAGAATGAAAGCAAGGCAACAGCTTTCTGAAGGTTGCAGGTTCTAGTCTCAGTACTCTTGCACTACTCTTAGTTTTGGGATGAGGAGGATCTTGGAGGATTGACGATGATTGCATTTTGAGGCAGGACTGTCTGACAAGTTTAAAGAATTTAGGCGCTGTTGCAAAATTTTGGGATTGAGGATGGTTCTTAGCAAAAAGGGCTTAAGGGGTTAGGGTTAACACACACCCCAGTGCCAACAGTCCGCAGAGGAAGTCTAGAAAACTTTGTAATGTGCGACCGCAAATTTTAATATACTAGTATTATTGATCTTGAGTACTCACCTGGGATTCCGCCCGACATGCGCATGGCCATTCTGACGGGCAAATCGGGAGTTGTCTTCACGTGACAGTAGTAACAATCCAAGAAATTTATGTTGGTCACGCAAATGCACAATTCCTTGCCATACATCTTGTACACCTGGAGGACCGAGAATGATTGAAAACTTTTCAAGCGAGGACACATGTGGAATGATCCGTTAGTAAGGCGGGCTCTGAATGGCTTGTCCATGGCTATTGTCTGGGGTCCCATCCATTACAAAGTATGTGGGAACGTGCTAACAACAGATGTAGCTGTAATTTTGGGGGATTGTTCCGGAGACAACCTCAGCAAGGCTGTGTCCAAAATATTTTGCTATGGCTGGCGATATCACACTTGTCTACATGGTCTATGAGAAGTGGATTTAGGCAAACATGCATGTGCCATTACCATTTGGAAGTGGATGTGTAATTTGGAAGTGGCCTATGTCATTTTGTAGTTTCCACATGTGAGATGTTAGGCCTATTTGTTGAAAATGTGACTTTTTAATACTTGGTCAAGAACTGAACTTGGTGTTTTTAAAAAAATTCTACACAAATGGAGATGAAAACCATGATAGGGTTTTCCACTTTTGTACCCATTCATGAGTTCAGTTCTAAAGTTGAATGCCCCACTAAAGATCCAGAAACTACTATAGCTTTTTGCCCGATATGAAGAGTCCAAAAGCTTTCTCTATTGTTTTATGAATTGAATTATCAATGTATGTGCAATCTGAAATTTGCATCGAGAGATACATGTACCAGTAAATCTAATACATGCATTGGGTTTTGACTAAAATGACATTTCTTTAGCGTTGTACATACAGTAGTGTCCTAAAACCTTCGCAAGATAATTCACAAGCTTATACCTACTCGTCTGGGACTCAAACCCACTACCGGTACCTCCTGCTTGCCAGTACAGAGGTATTAACCTCTCAAACAACAAGGGCGCCTGGCCAGATCGAACCTGGCATCATGCAAAATTCCAATGATATTAAGTGATCTACCCATTGATCTGACTTTGACTCAGAGCTCTTGGACAGCACTGCATACATGCATGTACTGGTTAGATTATTAATTTATGAAATTACCTTGGGGGACAAAACCCAATACAGCCGAGTCTCGTTATAACAAACTCGTTCAGACCTAGCCAAATTGTTTGTTATATCAGAATTTTGTATTAAGAGGAACATCAGTCCCATTCATTGTGCACATAAATGCACAGTCGGGACCAAGGCTTAATGTTTGTTATTTAACCAGAATGTTGTATTAACTGAGTTTGTACTAACGAGAGTCAACTGTACTAGACTTCCTATTTTAAACCCACGATCAGTTCAGGTGGAACAACAATATGTTAATGATCTCCACAGCCCTTAAAGTACCTGTTTGGTCATGCACTTATAGGTATGCAAGTACTTGACTAGGTTTTGGTGGGACAAGTGTATTTAAACACAAGTACAATTAAATTTATAGAACAAGCCTCGCGTTGTTTTTGAGTGCATCTTGATGAGTATAAAGTACATGCTCGCTACATATATACATACACGTACAGTACTAGTGTGAGTACAAATACCAGTGCCTGTACACGTATGTAGAGTGCAAATATACATGTAGATACCCATGTACATATGTGACAACAAGTTTTGCAGAACAGAGACCAGAAGCCTCAAATGTATCCGGAATTTCTGTTACATTGCAAATTGTAAAAATTTGCAAATACAGCACACTGACAAAATGTACAGCACATTATAGCCGTTATCAGTGCCTAAAGGCCAACTCGAGCCAAAATTTTCTGCACATACATTTTCCTGAATTGAGAACTCTAAAAAGTACAAAGTATTTGGATCTTCCCCAATTCTGATGGTTGGACACTTAAAAGGAGGACACAGGTTGGGTACAGGCTTTGCCACCATCACCCCCCCCCCCCCCGCCTTTCCCTTAATTTCACCACTTGGCAAATAGTGTTACACTGACCTGTTTCAAGTTTTGTATTCATATACATGATATGCTGGAAAAACCAAAAAAAAATGCTGTTCTTGAAGTCTGGTTCCCCGACCCTACTGCAGACAAAACGGGACAACTTATAGACGACAGGAAATTGTCAGGTCAGGGATCCAGACTAACTGGCTTGCACCCGTTCTCGAACGTGTAACCAATTGCAAAGAAATTTGGACTAATGACATTTGGAAAAGTGGAGACAGTATTTGAAAAAATCAGTGGGCCGACTATCATTGGAAATTGATACCAAAATTCCACTTTTTCTTGAAAATGACGGCACACCAGGAGTCAGGATTTCACAGGATGCTTGTGATTATTCACTTAAAGTCCAGTAAGGTATTTCAAACCTATTATGTGGTTTTGTTTTTGATGCTTGCAAATGTGGTATATTTCCTTTAAAAGAAACAATTATTTTTCTACATTTATAGACCCCAAAATAATTAATGAAAACAAAAGTTAAAACATCAGGCTGTCTACAAGTACCTCTTCAAACGTGATGTCGGCGTTGCCTGTTTTCTTGTACATCATCTTGCCAAACCAGGAGTAGAGTCTGTGACCCGGATGCCAACCAAACCGCTTCAACATATTGGGCAACACACTGAAGATGCCAAACCTAGCATCTGCAAGACAAAAGTAAATCTTGTTTGATCATTAATTGGAAGAGGAAATTCAAAGTGGTATAAGTTGTTCATTTGGGCTACAGGCCTTTGATTCATTATTCATAAATACCTAAGACCTTATGAAACTGTCTTTGATAGGTGTATTTATATAACCAACATACAGATCCTCGTCATTTGATTGGTGGAACTCACATCACGTGACATTTGTTATTGGCTCAAAAGGTACTATCTGCCCATGGGGAATGGGAAATACTATTGAACAGTTAGGATCATGACACGGTATTTGTGTGCAAATGCATGCTGGTGTGTGCGTTCAGCGTTGCGCGTAGCGCATATTGTTCCAAAGAGCCAGTGCTACAGCGTTGGGTTCAAACATTTTCGTGAAGGGGTGGCTTGGAAGAGAGAAATACATTTTCCTCCAGTTTTGTAATGAAATAAAAGTTCAAATATATCAAATGACAAGGATCTATATGTCAAATATATAAAACAAATATTGAGTGGCTTTAAATTATGATATGTTAAAAATATTATCACTCGGTAAAATCTGGACTTTTCCAGTTCACTCGGCTTCGCCTCGTGAAATGGAAAGGTCCAGATTTTACCTTGCGATAATATTACTCCCATTCCACGCTGAGCCACTCAATATTTTATTAATATATTATGTGCATTTTATGGTTTTTTATAGCTTTGGGTTTTTTTTTTTTTTTTTTTACAGCTGTTTTATCGGTGCAGCAGGTCCTCGGACCACAGTACTTATACTTAAGCTGCTCCTTGCTTTTCTTTATGTTGTAAGAATGGCTAAATAAATAATATTAATATTAATAATAATGACCGTTTACCAATTCCAGGTTGAAAGCCCGTCACGTGGCGGTTTTTAAACGATTGATAAAACACCAAACGGTTTTAAACTTTTTTTCTGTTGTCACACTCAAGTCTCTCTCCGAATTATCTTCACGTAGGCATGCAATAAATACTACCAATGAGTCTGTATAATTCGAGTCCTAAATTCACACTACACATGTACCACTGCACATCATGACACAGTTAGTGCCACAAGTAAGCCAATCTCAATACAAGGAGATTTTCACAACTACGGTACTCACGCGAGGCACATATACCATAAACGTACATGTAGCTTTGGTGCTTCACAAAATATGAAGTAAAAGTGTTGAACAAAATCGTTGGAAATTTATCAGTTTTGACTTGTTTGACTTTGTGCCCAAAAGGTACCGGTATTTATGAATGGGAATAAAACCGCTTAGGGCCTGTTCGCTGATACTGGCCCGTGGGGGGATATATCATTTGTTCCCCTCCCCCACTTTTTTTCATCCCTATATAAAAATTGTAGCCTACTATATTGATTCTATAGCTCAGAATAGCTAATTCAATGACTGCAATCACGAAAACGATGCTTAAAAGATGATCTTTTGCTAAGAAAAAAATGGTTTTTGTGGACAGAAATTGCCTTAGGTCACACCCCAAAGTGTCTAGAATCCAAAAATTTCCGGGCCCTTAGGCAGCAAACCCCACGCCGTTGGGGCTTTGCGCTCGCATTAGTGCTCATCAAGGTATCTCTCCCTCCCCCCCCCCCCCACTTTTGAGAAGCGATTGACGCCCTTGGCACACCTATTTTCAATCCAAATTGCATGTCATTGTCACTATGTTCTGGACTGCTCATACTGCATGCCCTATGGACACTGAGAATGATTCATGAGCCTGATGTGCAGGGGTAACAATGCTTGTACATGTGCCTTGGGCAATGTGCGCGGCGCGTGGAGGGACAAAATTCTTCAGTCTTGCAAAACAAGCGCCTGGTATTAAACTTTGAAGTTTAGAATCCTTACACAAATCCCTTCATGTAAATTGTGTCTATTGCACAAACCATGTAGTACATGTATCTCTTTCATTTTTGGCTGTGATGGTTTTTCCAAGAATTTTACATCAATTACAGGAAACATTTTTTAAGGCAAGTGAACTTTCTGGCCCAGATATCCGATGGAATTCCCCTCTGGATGGGAGACAGGAAATTACAAAGAGTTTAACATCTTAAATGACAGGAATGACATAAATGGGATAAACATAAAAATTGTCTGGCAATATTGGACAAGGTACTCGGCAACAGGCAACACTTGTCAAAATGACAGTTAAGCCTGCCTAGTGTAGAGAGATTCCTCAGGATACGACTGTGGTATTGTTGCACTGGCCCAGTGCAGCAAGGTCCAATCACGGCCCCATTGCATCGGGCAGGGTTAGGAATTTATGTTATGGTGCAACACACAAAATCATACATGAACTTAATTTACAAGCAAGCGTTGGTTTGCATGTCTGACGCCGCGAGATCCACACGTGCTTAACAATTCAGTGCTCCCTGTTTTTGGTCATCACAAAAACAGGGCAATGTAGATTACAATGGCACTCATTCTATCCAACAACAAGAACATGTAAAAAGGATTTATCAGAAACTTTTTCAATATTTTTGGGGGTTTTTTTTGTAGAGAAATTCTGACTTTGATGGCACCATAGCAGCCAGCAAGTATGATTTGATATGGGACAATGTTTAATTAGCATCCTCAAGTTTTAAAATGATGCTTCTAGCTGCACCCAAATATAATTCCCCCGACTGAAATACAGTTGTGCCATATGATTTCCCATAAGCCTTTCTCCATCAGCAACCTCTAGTTCTTGATGATCGGCCTTGCATCTTTTCTTTTTGGAACCCATTCACACCCTTTGAATAAACTTTTGTATTCCAGGTTTTATTCACCTTCAACACACAAAGGATCACTCGTGTATTTCTTATTACTTTGTTGACACATGCAGGGTATAAGGTCTGCACATAAAAGCTGCATCATACTGTACATATTGCTTTATAACACCTCACCCACAGATTCTGTGTCTTGATTGACCGAGAGCGAGTCACATGATACTTTCTATTTTTGCTATCTTTCTGTGCTCGGCCAAAAGTACTATACCCGTAGCAACCAAAGTACTATACCATTAAACAACCAAAATACTATATCCACGGCGCGGTATTTGTGTGCAAATGCATGCTGGTGTGAGCGTTGCGCATAGCGCGTTTTGGTCCAAAGAGAGCGCCCCGCAGAGTTGGGTTCAAACATTTCGTGAAGGGGTAGTTTGGAAGAGAGAAATACATTTTCCACCAATTTTGTATTGAAATTGAAGTTTATTTCAATTGTGTTCAGATTTACATAATTTAAAATATTAAAACCAAGCAGAATCTGTGGATGAAGTGTTATAAAACAAATATTGAATGCTTTATCTCGTGGTGAAGTAAAACTAGCCTCCCTCGGTGATCCATGGAGCATTCTATTTTGCCTCGGCGAATATAATATACACCAGTTTCAGAATGGCATCCAGACTCGCACTAAAACAAATACTCATAAAGACATAGAAGTCAACTGGAATAGTTTCTTGTTTCACAAAGGCACATTTTATGTATTAACCCCAACTCCCTTAATCCTATAACCACCAAACCCTTCAAAAATCCAACTGTATGTTTTGCTTGATTCTGTTGGAGTGAAGACTACACAGTTCACTCACTGGTAAACTGATTATATGCTTTGCACATGGTCAGGTAGGCCTATACCACCATATCAGAGTCCAACAGTTTGGGTGTAGAGTTTACCATGTGGTGTTGGATTTTGCAAGAGTGAGGAAGGATCCAAATCACTCAAAGGGTTTTTAAGGCCAAAAAAAAATTAATTCTGCTTCTGATTACATGGCATTCGAAAACAGGCTAGGTATATAGTGGTGGGCAATTTTTGTTTTGTTGGCCCATTTTGTTTGTGTACAATCATATAGAGGCGTCTGCATGTAGTCAAGGGTAAAAGGTAGAAATTGATGGTTTTGGGTGTTTTTTTCCTCATTTTCACTATAAAAAAATTAGGGTAGGGGCTGTCAGAATAGGGTAGGTAGGGAAACCGGAAGCAGAACTATGATTGTTTTTGGCCTAATGAGTTTTTTTCAAACATTGAAGTTATCTTATATCTTTGGAATAATTTGGTTTCAGCATGATTTCAGAATGATTCTCGAAATCAGAGATTTCAAAATCCGGTTCTCATAGAATAACGGTTATAAATATCCAATTTCACCGGAAGTTCCCATTCAGCTCACAGTCATGCCAACAAATAGTTATGAGTGAGGTGCCGCACGGTATGCCGTACAGGATGATTTGGTATACATGCAGTTTGCAGGATTGAATGACCGCTGGGGCCATGCACCTTTAAAGAAAATAACACTTGAGAGCTATAATGTTGAAAAATGGGCAGGCTAGGAACCAAGAAGACTGTCGAGCGAATGTAATGACAATCACTGAATCAGGGACCATGGAGCTAGTTGGGGGATAGTCCAGTTGTTTTGATTGTACCACAAAGAATGGAACACCTACTTTTTTTAAAGACTGGTTTCCAATATCCGGTTTCAAAAATCCAAACCGAATAGTGGAAGTCAAACCAAATTTTTAAAAATACAACTTGTACAACCACTACTACAATCATGCCAGCATGGAAACAGGGGAAAGAGGCTATTGTATGGCGATGTTGCTTTAAATACAACCTTGATGAGAGCTGATATGCACCAGTTGACAGGATATCCTGGGATATATTGTCAACTTTTCCTCTCAAGACGGGATCTATATACCATGTATATAATTTGGTACTTCATTGAAAGCCCACATGTACTTCCTGACTAGTCTTAAAGCTATAGTCCATCATTTGAAGCCATCCGAAAAGTAACTGGCGTAATTATTGTTGAAAAACATACTTGGTGGAAAGATAGTAAGTGGACTAAACTCCCTGTGAAATTATTCTTTCTGGCAAGCTGTCATTTTGAAGTAATCAACGAAAGAAGGCCTCAGGAAAATTTAAATTAGTAGTTCGTTTTATTTGGCGAAGCGCACACAAGCATTGGCACGACGCACACGCGGTTGCTATAATTCGTCGGATCAGTGCGCGACATCGCGTAGCTGCAATCGGCTCAGT